GGTGTGGTCCGAGTTCGTGGTGGAGGCTTGTAGTCAAGGCTGAGGCGTTTCAATAGATTAGTGGTGCGCTGGTCTTGATCTCACAAGATGCGATTGCATGTCAGATCCTCCTCTTTCTGAACCTTTTTCTCCTTGTCGGTGTGTTGAATCTCGTGTTTACCGGACAGCCCTCTTTAGTCTGGGGTCTGAGTAGGTTGTTCTTGGCTCTAGGTTGCTTCAGTTTCGACAGTATCTTTAGTATTTCGGCTATGGTTTAGGGTCAGATTCGAATGATGTGTTTGGTTCTCTACTAGTAGAAGTTGCGGGTATGGTCTTTAGGAGGTGCAGTTTAAAGATTTTCTATTGATTAGCCTTATGGTTGGATTAATGGTTGGTTAGTTGTTGTTTCCGCAATTGTTTTATTTTATATATTAACTTCCGCAATTAGGCCATGAAATTCCGGTTTCTATCAAAAGTCTTCTTTGGATCGGTTTCTTGAAAAGGTTTGAACAGGTCGTCACCTTCTTTCATCCTTAACGAAGAATAAGGCCAAGAGTTGTAGTTTCACTACTCGCCTTCCCGATGGCTCGATCTTTTAACTTAGTGATGGATCGCTAGTTCTGGTGCGGTGGGGTTTTTAGTGTGGGATGGCGAGTTGGAGTACGTGTAATCGATAACGCCCAATTACATTGGACTTCGGGGGCCTTTTGAGGGTGCGGCATAGTTGCTTTTCGTTATGGTCGCGTGCTTGTCTTCAACTCTAGTTTCAGTGGTAAACTTCTGCCTCAAAATTCCGTGTCTATAGCTTGTGATGAATGGTTTCATTGGTTGGAAGGAAAAGTAGTTGAATACTCGCTACAACAAGTTTGAGTATAGTTTGCGTTAATGACAATTTCTGAATCCCAGTCTTTGGGTGGTTTTTGGAATTGTTTTGGGATTGTATTAAATCGTAGTATCGTAATAATGTAATCTACATGTACTCAATCTGCGTATTCCTGCTGTGTATTCCGTTCTGGTTTTACAATATGTTTAATAAAAATTTATAGATGACAAAAAAAAAAAAGCAAAGGATCACTATGTCTATGTTTAACACCTAAACAAGATTATTATGCCAATCACACGGGTTCGAAAGTTGATCAAAATCTACCACTGTTACTTAAAAACCTCCACATAGCAACATGCGAAACGAGAATTCCTCCCAAAGTCCCATTACACCAATGCTTAAACCAAACGAACCATCACAATCTACACGCAACACAACAAACGATTGACAACCGAAACTTAAAATGTGGGGAGAAGTGGTCATAGAGACAACAAGAACGTTTCACCTACCATCAATGGCTTAGGATATTAGAAAAGAAAAATCTAGCAATTTGACTAACCTTGATTAAGATCTTTTTAGAATTCTCTGTGGTTTTGCGAGTAAAAAAAGAACAAGGAACAATCACAACGAAAGAAGGTGGTGAGACAAAGATAAGAACAACTCAACGGTAATCGATAAACCAGTATTTTTTTGTGAAAAGATTTAAGTTTTTTTTTAATAATAAATCAAACCTAAAACAAAACGATCTTGACCATCCAATAAATAAATAAAAAGGAGATATCAAACGGTGGATGTACATCTTTTTTTTCCTATAAAAAAATGATGATGTCATCAGTCTAAAAAACAGATTTGCCAT